GGCCAGCCTTAAGGGGACTGTCTGATGGCACCATTCTGCTCCCTAGATTGGCTGCAGTGACAAGGCCAGGCCAGGCCATAGCAGTTTCTCTAATCTGCTAATCCACTTACCACCTGACAAATTCATTAGCTTCTCCTGTATGCAGTGCACTATCCTGGATACACTTTGCGAATACAGAGTAATCAGTACCAAGGTTTGCACCCTCAAGAAATGTCTCCCCTGGTGGCCAGCTTCGCTTCACTCCTGGACCAGGAAATAACACAGGCTGCCTCTCCAGGCTGCCCAGTCTCAGTGCTCAGAGAAGGGAAACTGGCCTTGAGGGCTTGGGGGAGGAGATGGGGGGGCTCCCTAGCCTCTTGATCTCTTCCTCTCCTCCTGTGGGCCCTTGTCTAAGCCAGCCAGAATTTAACTTAGTTCTTACTCCTTACCCAAAGGGTTTAGTTACCGAAGTGCCAGGGTGGCTTCCTAGCGGTCTTAGAAACTTACATGTAATTATACATGAAGTGATTTTTAAAGATAACGTGAACTACGCCCTAAGGTTAGGAGAAGTTTTTTTTTTTTTTCCACCCGCCCCCCCCCCCCCCCAATCCCACAAAAGAAGCCTTTGGTGAATCTTTGAAAAGGAAATCATGATTTTCACAGTGGGGAGAATCCAACCTTGGTTGACCTGGCTGATAAATTTTGAGAATTTTGAATGTCAGGTTTTCTTAAAGTGGGATTCAGGCCATATGGCATAGGTAGGATAATGCTGGGAATGATAGATGCTGCACCATGGACCCCAGGGAGGTTTTAGCAGACATTTCAGTCTTTAAGTACTAGGCCTAATTGAATGCCACTGGCTTAATTAGTATATTGAATGTGATAGACGTGATGGCTTTGCTTCTGTTTTCTCCTCAAACTTCTGTCCATTGCAAAACTTATCCTTTATCTGTTTTGGAGCAGATAGAAACATTGAGAACAATGTGGAGGACAGTGAGCCACGTGGAGAGCCAACCAAAGGAGATCATTGCTCATCTGGTTTTCTGAACCCAAGATTTAAGTCAGAAACTTTGCGTTGGAATCCTGGTTTCTATAATTTAATAATAGTTCCTCTCAGTATGTGTTGTTGTTTGTAATTTGAAACATATTCAAGCTAATTGAATTTAGGCATCAGTAGTTTAGACTTGCTTAAAAGCAGGTTCTGTAAAGAATGAGGCTATCCGGGAGAAAAGGGTTGTTGAGTTTGAGGCATGAAATTGGGGGCGACATTGCCTCACCACCGTAGGGTGAAGCCAGATGCCCAGGTAACTGCTTTAGGAAGCCAGAGGAATGATACTCCAGTGCTAGAGGAGAAGATGTGATGCCTGTTTTGTCGAGAGGGAAGGGAGGGAGGTGTGTGACATCACACAGCTCTTGTTAGTAGCAGGGTCCAGTGGCGCATGCTTAAAGGGGACGCGATTACAGAGGCTGTCGGTCTGCACCTTAGGGTTTACAAGGACCTTATCTGACAACACTCGGCATTGTTGCCTGATCAGTATCACTAAGAAGACAGCGTTACCTTAAAGAAAATATCCAGGAGGTCAAAGTTTTCCTGATTCCAAGAGGTGTTCTCCCCAGCTCATTACGAGTTGTTGAAATTTCCCCAGGTTTAGAGGTAATTAGTAGACATAATTGATTCGAAAGGGCTTTAGGTTGAGAACCTACCGAAAAGTCCGAGGTCGGTCATGGAAAACAGGAAGTTGACGGTAGCTGCAAAATTGCAACTGAGAGAAATGTTCTCCCAATTCAAACAAGCCTTGAAAAAGCTGTTAACCACAGAGTGGCAATTTACCAGTAAATAAATACTGGCCACACAGACATTCCCATTCCCCACAGCCATGAGATGTGGGAGTTAAAAAGAATGGATTATTTTATTTCTCACCCTCTTTCATTTTATTCTTGCTCGTTAGTGGAGAAACGATCTTGGACAGGAAAATCACATTAGAACTTTGATAAGTTGCTTTTTGAAATAGAGTTGTTTCCATGCCACAGACATTTGGAGCAAAGTATGTTTATTGAAATATATTTTTATAGAAAATATTACAGAACCTGTAATTGAAAACTTATGGCAGTATTTCGGGGAGTGATATGTTCTTAATGTTAATTTGTGGATTCGCTCTGAACTCCCTTCTGCTGTTTTAGAACCATTGGCTGAGTGAATGTTTTCCAAGAGTCTTTTCAGATCTAAACTGTGTTTCATGGAATGGAGTATTTGGTGCTTAAATAATATATAAATCCAGTTGGGCAGAATCTGCCTGTCAGTTTTATTAACTTTGACCTTTTCTCCCATTATAAAGATGGTTCGGTAAATATTTAATGGGCCCCTTATAGATCTTGCCAGTCGGAGCTGTGTTCCTGGAAACTGGGATACGTTTATATGATTAACAAATGTCGCTTAATCACTGTGAGTCAGCTTTGAAGGGCAGGTTTTGTTTTTTTGGGAAGAGGAGTCTCTGTGTGCTCTCAGAGGTGCACTGTATGTTAAGAGTGCCCAAGATGGCAGAAGGTTTAAAGGAACCCTTTAAGAGAAAGCAGCGAGCATGCATTTCTGCTGTTTTGGGGGTTTTTTGTTTGTTTGAGCAAATGATCAAAATGATGCCAGGTGGGCGAAATGACGCTGCCACTCTGCATAGTTAGCAGGACTCTGCCACTGGAAGAGTCAGCAGGGCCGGAATGGCTGAGCTTGCATGGACCCTAATAAGATACAGAGCAGAAGGAGAGCCAAAAGGAGAGACGATTCCTTGAGCCAGGAAGGGACCCCTGCCAAGCTGTCTTTCCCTTTAATTCCAAAAAGCCCCATGCATATTGCACTCATTGCAAATTCCGGTGGGGAGGATCGAAACCCAAGTAGCTGACATTTTGAAACATTGTCTTTCAAACTTGTACTGTCCCTTGCTTCCATTGATTTCCCATTTAAGAAATCTGTAGGAGAAAAACAAATTTGAGCAAAATTCATTGGTCCAAGATGAGTTGTTAGAGCCAAATTATGCCCCCCCTTTTCCACCCTGAGAAGAACTCCATTTTTATTATGAATGTGATATATCTTTGTCTTGTATTGTTCAGCCATGAGGCTCCCACAGCAAATCGACCAAGTAAATCAAGAGCCTGTTAAAAAGCAATATGGATGCTCCAAACGCAGACATTTCAGTCTTACTGGGTCACTGGATATCTTCATTTTTTATAGCCACTTTCAAGAAGCAGATCATTTCGATTGGTTTTCTTTTCTTTCACTCTCTATTTGTGTGCAGCCCGGTGGCTTTAGGTGAGGCCATTTATTTTTCTGAACGTTATTACCCTTTGCATCCAGGGCCCAGCCCCTTTGATATGGTGGTCACCACTTTCATTACCATGAACTGTAGGGTAGCTGACTCTGCAAAGGAAATCTATGCCTTGGAAGAGCATTTTGAAAAGACATTGATTCAGAGCTTCAGAGTGAATGACTATTTGTATGTTTAGTTAATTCTAAATAAATGTTTGAAAGACCTTGCTTAATTTGGGAAGGGAGGAAGAAACATATTGGATGTTATAAATGGTCTCAATCCAAATTCTTAGCTTGGCATTTTCACATTTGAATGTTTTATTTACATCTGTTCAAAATTGGGATACCTTTCAAGGATAATTTTATTATAGGGAGATTGATGACAGCTCTTACAATCTAAAACACAAAAGTATGGGATTAGAAAAGGAAGATAGCAATCATTGTCACATGTCAGATTGGATATCAGCCTCACTTGGCAGAGAGGGAGGATGATGAGTGGTATTTTAAAACAAAAGCTCCTGCTGGTGAGATTTGGGGGTGGCGGGGAGAGACTGACTACATTGGGGCACGAGGGAACTTTCTGCCGTGACGGACATTATCTGTACCGTGATGGGGGGGGGGGGAGCAGTTTCACGGGTATATACATGATCAAAACTCCTCAAACTGTACGCTTAAAATGTGTGCATTTTATTTCATGTAAATGGTAACTCAGTAAAGTGGATGTTTTTCTCCCAAGTCCTGTCTGGTTTAGAACTAGGCAGCATTTCTTCTCTTTTCCAATAGCAAAATTAAGGTCTAGAGAAGTAAAATGACGTGTCCTGAGCGGTTTGTCCAGAACAAAGCAAAGGATACAGGCCCACTTCCAGAGCCCGCTTGAAGTATTTTGCCTCCTTACCAATTGTTCCGATTGCGTGTATACAGAGTAAAATGAACTTCTCCATCCCCTTCCCTTCAGTGAGCCTGGACCCATTTGTATACTTGGCTGTGGGCTATACTCAGGAGCCTATCCTTGGGATTGACACTTGTCTCTCCACCACTGGGAACAGTGGCCCAGTGGTTCTGAAGGCTGAGGTCGACCTGTGCTGTGTTCCGTATATGTTTGTGGTAAGCCACGCTGTGCTCCCGGTTTACTCGAGCAGACTACCGAGTTACGTGGCTTTTATTGTTAGCAAGAGTTCCGAGAACTAATTTGTCTTTAAGGAATCCCTCAGGATCTTATTATAAAAAATGACATAGGCTGTAGAAAACCATTTATAGCAAGCACGTATGAATAGTAGTGAAAAAATAAAGAAGAAGGTAACAGTGACCTAGGTTCTACTACTTAGGAACATACTGTTAACGTTTAAGAGACCACCCTTTTACATGCCTCTTTGTTGACAGTGCAACCTGTATCCTAATCGACAAAATGATGCTGTAAAGTTCTTTCCATTATCTCAGCCAAGTTCCCGGCTGTTGATGGCCATTCAGATCCCTCCCAGTTTCTCATCGTTATGTAATGCTGTGCCCAGCAACCTTGACCACGTTTCCTTTCCTGTTTGTCTCGTCCCCTCACAAATACGTTCCTCGAGGCAAAATGTTAGTAGCTGTATTTGCGGTGATTTGAAATGTTCTAAGGTGGCGGGGGAGGGGGGGTGATATATCAAGTGTCGATAGTTTCACGGCCTTTGTCCTCCTTTTACCAAGTGTCGTTTTTCTCCCCTTTTCGTTCCGGGTCTTTCTGCAGTTGCAGTACCACGCGGGCCTGGCGTCTGGCCTTTTGAACCAGCAGTCGCTGAAACGTTCTGCTAACCAGATGGGGGTGTCCGCCAAGCGCAGACCAAAGGCCCAGCCCACCACGCTCGTCCTGCCACCTCAGTGAGTAAGGGGTTTGCGAAAGCTCTTCCGTCCTGGGTGAGCTCTACTTGGTGCTTGGTTTTGGCCCACGGAAAGTTATTTTTGTGAGATCGTTCCTTCTTTTGAAAAAGGGCTCCGCCGAGATTAGAAACCGAGCTTGCGGGTAACGTATCTTGTATAGATCTCAAGTGAAGCAGTCAAGACACCGTTCGTAAGTGACATATTTGGTGCGTGGTTCTTTTTTTTCCCCCCCACCTGGGATTGTAAGATGCCTTACAGCCTTTTATTTATTTCCCCGTCACGTTCCCAAAGTTGGCAGAGCCGTGCGTACGGCTGACGAGACAGCTGAGGAGCGTGTTTCGAGAAAGCTGGAGGCCACCTAGAAACCCGGGAGAGCTGGGATCAGAGTTTGTGCTGGGCTCGCCTGCCCTTTTTTAAGCGAGTAAAATACGACCCCTTCTTTTTCCTAGTAGGAGAGATGAGAGCGACTGTAAGGTTGAGAACACGTTCAGCCTTCACACAGGTGTCCACCCACATCGGGCCGCGCGGCCACCCCGTCCGGGATCCCTTGAGGGCGCCTCCCCGGGTTCCCAGTCGGTACCCTGCCCAAGTTCAACACTGGTCTACCTCCTTTGAACGGTTACTTTTACCTGTTCGTGAACTTTGTCTAAATGGAGTCCCACGACACGCAGTCTTTTGTTACCGTCTCTCTTTCACTCCACACAGCGTCTGTTGGATTCATCCAGGCTGTTTGTTCTTTTTTGTTGCTCTCTCGAATATGCCGCGGGTGATTCATCCGTTTCCCGCTTGGGTTGTTTTGTGCCAGAAACCCTAGCGGATGAAGGCCAGGCTCACCCAATGTGGAATCAGAAATGCAGACACACCAGGGGCTCCTGGCTAGCTCGTTGGTTGAGCGTCTGACTCTTGATTGCGGCTCAAGTCACGATCTCGCTGTTCATGGGCTCGAGCCCTGCATCAGGCTCTGTGCTGAGCCTGGAACCTGCTTAAGATTCTCTCTCTTTCCCTCTGCCCCTCTCCCCCTCATGCTTACACTCTCTCTGTAAAAAAAAAAAAAGAAGGAAAGAAAGAAAGAAACGTCACCACACCAATCTTTGCTGATAGCTTTTCTGTGAGCGCACACACTCCCCATAGAGAGGCGGTACTCCCAAATGGCTTGGCTTGGACTCTAGACACATTCCCTAGCCTGTCCTGCCCTCCTGTTGTACCCCCTTTTGGTTACATCCTCGGTTACAAACTACACTTGACACCTTGAACAATGCGGGGGTTACGTGACAGGCACAAAGAGCTGTATATAACTTTTGGCTCCCCCAAAGCTTAACCACTGACAGCCTGATACCGACCGGAAGCCTACGGATGACATAAACAGTCGATGAACACTGATTGTATATGTTAAACGTATTATATAGCCTCACAATAAAATAAGCTAGAGGAAAGAAATGTTATTAAGAAGATCATAAGGAAGAGAAAATACGTTCACAGTACCGTATTGGAGAAAAAGCCGCGTGTAAGCGGACTCAGGCACTTCCGACCCGGATTGTTCACGGCTCAACCATACCTTTTAAAATGTCCAGCCCTGAGCAGTGTTTCCGGGTAAGACTCGGTTGTTTGCCTTTACACAAGATCTCTTTTCTTTTCTTTTGGAGGAGCGAATATTTATCATACCTACTATCTGCCAGGCACTGTCCTAGGCTGTGGGGACCCAGTCATGAGCAACACAGATGTGGTCCCACCTTCCTGAAGCTTTTTGTTTGCTGGGGGGAAAAGGCCAAACCAAACAAAAAGCACCCCTAAACAAAGTAACAAGCTCACATAATAATTTCTGGTTAAGATTGGTGCTTAGAAAAGACGATGTAGGGTGGTAAGGGGTGGGAGCGGGGGAGATCGCTTAGATCAGGAGGTGGGGGGGGGGGGGCCCGGAGAAGGCCTCTCCGAGGAGGAAACATTTGGTGCAGAAAGGCCAGTGGAGAACTGGGAGGTCACTGGGGATGCCTCTGGGGGTCTTGTCCCTCGCTGGTGGACACTCACACCACCCCTTCTAGGATTTTAGGGTTTTCTTCACAATTTAATGTTTGCTTCCAGGATAAGATGAACGGGACCAACCATGCACAGGTGCGTGTTCCTCAGAGACTTTCAGGGATGCCAGACCGAGAGTTTTTTCCTCTTTGGCAGAAAGCTTCTTTTTAAAATTTTATTTATTTATTTTTTAACGTTTGTTTATTTTTGAGACAGAGAGAGACAGAGCATGAAGGGGGGGGGTGGTAGAGAGAGAGGGAGACACAGAATCTGAAGCAAGCTCCAGGTTCTGAGCTGTCAGCACAGAGCCCGACGTGGGGCTTGAACCCACAGACTGTGAGATCATGACCTGAGCCGAAGTCGGGCGCTCAACCGACTGAGCCACTCAGGCGTCCTGGCAGAAAGGTTCCTAAGGAACATTATCTGTTGTTCCTTGTATGTTGATTTGGTGATTCTGCCAATCTCCAACTTTCGGTCCTCTGTAGTCTAATGGGCCTTGTAACTTGTCATTTTCCCCACATGGATTGTCTACTGAGGCAAGATGTTTGGCGAGAAGTGAAAGACTTTCTAATGGTCCCATAAGACTGGAGCCAAAAAGTGTTTGTTGCCAGCTCTCTCTTGACAAAAGTCAGCTCTTAACCCATCTGTTCGCCATTTGTTAATTTGCATCGGCTTGAAACCTGTTTACAGGTGACGTGCTATTATGAGGACACTTAGAAACTATTTTCAGCACCGAGGCAATCAACAGACTCTGTTCTCATGCCAAAAAAAAAAAAAAAAAAAAAGGTGTTCACAACTGTCATTATAAATTTATAATAAATCACTCAAAATACTTAGTTTCAAAGAGAACAGTGGTTACTGTGTCCTAAGAATACAACGTTGGAATGATTTCCTATACTTAGTAGCCTGTTTCCTGTGAAAATTGACTGCCGCCTTTTCACATCATTGAGCTTTTGGGGCTCATGTTATCCTGGGTCCCTTCAGAGACCTGTCCAGTAGGCAGGATCTATATCTAAAGGACATTCAGTGACTTTTTATTGAGCGCCTACTATGTGCTACTTACTGTGTTAGAGTCAGGAATAGAAATACCAATAAGACATAGCTGCTGGACTAATTGAATTAGAAAATATTTTAAAATGAAAACATAGGCCACTAGTGATATATATATATAGAAACCAAAGGTTACCAAAAAAGGAAAACATAATAGTACTGTCACCCTGAGAAAGTTATTGTTAAGGTTTTGATGGATATTATTCTCGACTTCTGTGCATATATAATTTTTAAAAACAAGAAACAACCTCCAAAAAGGGTTGTATTGTAATGTCCCGTATCACATCTCCACACTTACTGAGCGTAGCTGTTAGACATTAGTGTGATTTTGCGGAACATAAAATTTGCATATTAATCAGCCACGTTATGGTTGTATTGGGCAGAACACTACTGATTATAACATTTTTTTTTTGTTATAAGCACGACATGACCATAAACTGACTTTGTCATTAGGGAAATCCCTTATAAAACAACACCCAAATCTTCCAGGGCTGGCTGCATTAGCTATCTATCGCTGTGTAACAAATCACCCCAAAACGTGTTAGTCTGACAGCAGTAAACATAATCTCTCACGTGTTCTGTGGATCAGGAGTCTGAGAACGGCGGACTGGGTGGTCCTGGCTCAGTCTCTCATAAGATTGCAGTCAGATGTAGGCAGGGATGCAGTCATCTGGAGGTTGGACTGAGGTTTGAAGGTCTTGTCCACGGTGGCTCCCTCACGTGGCAGGCACGGTGGTGCCGGCTGTCGACAAGAGACCTCAGTCGCCCTCCACAGGACGCTTGAGTACCCTCATGACTGCAGGTGACTTGTCCCCGAATAAGCCATCTAAGAGAACGAGAGCCAGGAGGACTTTATCCTTTTTATGACCCAGCCTCAAAGGCACAGCATCATTCCGCCCCATTCTGTTGGTTAGGAATGAATTTCTAAGTCTCATGTCTGAGGGGAGGGGACGAGGCTTTCCCTTTTGAAGGAAGGAGTGGAAAGAATCTGAGGACGTTGTTTTAAAACACACCTCAGTTGCCAATGGAGAGAATCCTTGCACAGAGGGAGGAATGGCTGAGCTACAGGAAGCCCCGTTCACTTATTTACTCAGCAAATATTTTCTCAGGGCCTATATGCATTTAGTTCTGTGCACTGTGCTGGGGATTTGGAGATGAGGAAGATAGAATTTTGGCTTTCAGGAAGCTCTGAGCAGAAAGAGAGGAACAAACAAGTAGCAGGGAATCCTGGTAATGTGTGCCAAGTCCCGAGGATATGACCCCAAAGTGCTCGAGGAGGCCACGGGCAGGGTGCTGAGAGGGACCCACGCTTCGGGGGGGCCCGGCCAGACTTCACTGAATTTCTCCGCTGCCGGCTGTAAAGGATGGAGGCTGAACTTCATTAAGAGAGCCCGATGCTTTCTCGCACAGGCTTATGGGATTCTAAGGAAAGGTTTTATGTGTCAGCAGCGGAGGGCCAGTGCTGGGCTCCGGACCCTTCCTCCTCTGGAGCTCTGTTAGTGCGGTGACCGATGGGTTTCTGCATTGGCTTGCATCGGCATCTGGATGGCAGTAAGGCTACACAAGGCCACGGGCTCGGCCTAAGTGTGCCGAGACCACAGGCACGGCAAGAACGCGGGAGGTTTGTACGGCGTGTTTGTTTTTGAAATGCGGTTGGCTTGAACAGTAGCAGTCTTTGAAGACTCAGTGTCCCCTGAGTTCCCGGAGGATTAGCGATTCGTGAGATTAATGATTCGCCTTTTTCTCCTCCTCCAAAGAAGCTGGGTGGAAGACAAAGATGTCGTTCCGTTCCGTGATGAAAGCTCTTTTGTCACGTGTCAGCGGATGAAGCGACCTCCCTCCTGTGACTCCCGAGTGCTCGCGTGAAGTCTCTTGCAGAAGGGGCATTGGCGTTGCCATAAAGGAGCCGCGTCCCCTGTTCCTGGGCAAACTCGATG